GGAGCTCGCTGCCAGGTAGGGTGGAACAAAAGACTTCGCCCGGTGAGCGGAGGACAGCAGGGCTGCGAAGGATGGGGTGATGCTGGGGAAGTTTCAGCAAGCTGCTGTGACTGGCGTAGCTTTTCCCTTTTAACCTTTCAAGCGAGCCCTTGTGGTTTCTGAACCTGCTAAATTAGGTGCTTCTGCTGGTAGGATGTTCACCCTCCTGCATTTTAATTGCATGTTAACCGAGAAGAGGCTGCAGAGGAGAAACACACTCTTTTAACAGCTCTCTGCCATCAAATACCTCCCCACTCAGAGGGTTTTTAAAAATTCCTTGCACCAAAAAACTGAAAGAAGTGCTTGAATTTGATGTGGTTTCTTACCCTTCAGTAATCTTGCTTGATGGTTTTATCTTGTGTTTTTTCAGTCGTTTAATACACGATTTCAGTACAAGTGGGGACACGCATCGGGATTATATAACCTAGGGGATAGCTGGTGGGAGACTCAGTATGTTTCTGTGCAGGTATAAAAATCATTAGTTCTGGAATGCTTTTTGTGTAACGTGTTTGCATATGCGCCCTTGGGTACTCTCAGATATTTTTATTCATGTGAGAAGGTGCTTACTCCTTACTGTCAACTGGAAGTGAAGAAAGAGGCCATCGGTGCATGCTCAGGATGAAATGGTTGCTAGTTGTTGAAAATGAGCTTAGGTGAGAATCACTGTTTGAGGGGAAAATGAATCCATTTTGGAAGAAAATGTAATAGTGTTTTTTCTTTCCGCCTCCAATCTTGGAAGCAGGAACAGAGCAGGAAAACCAGTACAAATTCTTGCTGTAAGAGCCTATTTTACTGCATGTTTTCAGGTGGTTCATTCCTGTAAAAGCACACAAAAATCTTGCAGTATTTCAGTCTTGATTAGAGCAAGCAGATAACTGTGATACAAGGGGGAAATTCCTGCAAGAAATTCCTCCTGACTTCTATTTAACTCTGTATTTGTTAGTGCCTCCGAATGCTCCAGTTGAGAGGCAGCTCTGGTCTGGATTTTTTGTATTTAATTGCTTTACAGAGAAGTCACATATTCTCCCTATCCTCAGAGCATGGCTGTGACTGTCTAATTAAAAGATTCTCCTCCTTTTAGGGAGACTTTTGGTTTAAAGAAAAATTCTCTTTCTTTTCCAACTAGCATTACTGTTTTTGCCTGCCTTCTCCCACTGGGTCTTTAATAGCTCCTGAAATTCCCCAGCTTGTAATCACTGCTGTAGCCAGATGGGGACTAGGTGGAACTCCCATTGCATCTGTGCCTCCTTTTATTAATCTGCCAGAATTATCTCACTTAGGTGGATTTTTAAATATATATTTCATGAGTTAATGAGCCCTAAACAGCAATGAAGAGAATCCAGAGTCAGTGCTACCCGCTGGCTGCTGTCCTTCCCCTGTTTTTTTTGGTGTGATGCTGATGGAGGAGGGAAAGCTGTAAAGAGTCATTCAGCCTGACACGAGCATGAAAAGTGGAGACTTCAGTTCCACTTTACTAACCTGCCGTTTGCAGATGTGATTTAAGAGGTTCGCTTTGCTTCTGCTCTTCTGCTTTATCTCCTGCCTCGTCTTTCCTCCCGGTGGTAATGGAAGGATCTCCAAAAACGGTGTGAGGTTTGGGTTTAGCTTTGCTTTTCCACCCTCCTGGATCATTTCAGAGCATGGCTGCACAAATAGTAGAATAGGAGCAGCTGAAGAGGGTAACATGGGTGGCAAAGATACGGAGGGGGAGGAGGAGGAGGAAGAGGAGGGAGGGCACAGGATCCTCCTGAATTGGATCTAAGCATGCCAGAATAGTAACATGAAAGAGCTGCCTCAATTATTCAGCATATCATCGTTTCTTTGCACTGTGGTTAATGAAGTGCTGCAATAGAGCCAGGATGGGTTATACTTTAGCGCTTAAACTTTACTGTGTGTGATGGGGGCAGCGGGGGGGCAGTGTTCCTAAGGTTTGCATTGCAGCTCGGGCTGTGCAGCTCTCGATGGTACCAAAATCTCTATGTAGTGAAAGGAGATGAGTGCCCTGGAGGATGGTTTGCTGTGGACCTGGATGGGATGCTGCTGCGGGAAGAGGTTTGGCTTCTTACCTGCCTGCCATGACCCATTCACGTCCCATGGTGGAGCCTCCCGTGCTGTCGCTCTTAACCCACCTCCAGGAAAAACAGTGTCATTAACAAGCGTCTGCTGATGAACTTTTGCAGTCATCCTGGCTCGCTCCTCCTGAAATAACAGCAGCTAGTACCCCAGACTGGATTCCTTTGGCAGATATAAGGGGAAGGAAGGTAGTTACTTCTATCTGGGGGGCAGAAATGAGCTCCAGGAGGCTCGCAGGGAAGCAGTAACCTTTCCACGGCCCCAGCTCTTTGCAGAGAATCAATCTGTAGATGCCAAAAGTTAGACGTTGGAAAGAATCGCTTTCTCCAACCATTATATCTCATTAAGGCTTACCGGAGTTTAAGGCGTTTTTGTCCCTAAGAGTCTCGTGTCCAGGTTAAATCCTTTGGCAAAAAGGACCTGAAAGGTTTCTTTTTAATCCGATGGAAATCATCGCTTTCCAGAAGTGATCTTAAGCGGCCACCCCATACTCTGAAAATCCATCTAAACTGCTCATTCCTTTAGGCAGCTCTTCCTGGGTGCAAAAAGAGAGGTTACTCTGCTCAAAGAAGATTATTTCCCTCCTGGCTTATATAAGTTCTAAAATAAGAAAATAAATCCCAACCTTCTTGAGGATGAAACAGTTTTTCCAAACTCAGGAGGAGGATCCCTTTTGAAGCAGTGATTGCTTCAATTATCAACACTGCCTTGAGATTCAAAATCTCAGCTGTGACAAAAGGCCAGCGACTTAAAATCCTGCCTCCTCCCTATTCTCCTTTATCAGAAGGTGGTTATGGGCGTGAGGGTAGGGTGCTATCTATGGTAGTGGTGTGCAGAAAATTTGTGAGTTTTCATTCTGTCTTGCAATGTGTTTCTAATTTTCCTCTCCCAGATTTTGTCTCTCTGGTGTTTTCTATAACTTAGGGATGAATGTAAGATCCTCAGGATGAAGACTAGGAGCAGTGCCTTGGCTCTGCTGAAATCTGTGGCAAATCGTCCCGTTCCTTCACTGGAGTCAGGATTTTTACATCTGATTTTGTTGTTAAAAACCTCTTTATTTTATCAAATGATACCGTGTATGCATAAGCTGGCAAGTCTGCAAATTGAAGACAAACCTTAGACCCTGAAAATAAATCCTTGCACTCTTTTGAAGAAGAAAAAAAAAAAAAAAAAATAGAGATGGAGGCTGAGTGAGCACCGTCTTGGGAACCAGCAGTACCAGATCCTCATCTTGGTTCTCTCAATCCGGAGCTGGTTGTAGGCATCCTGCTCTATACCTGCCAGGTTCTAACAGGCAAAGGTGTTGTGAAGGTCAGCGGCGGTCTTTCCAAAGAGTAATCCTATAATTCAGGGTTTTTATCATGTCCGGTGTTCAAACATTAAATATATAACAAAATTGGAAGTTTTTAGAAGAGTTTTTCAGCCTGCTTGATGAGACCTTTTTAGTGATGTGTTCGCAGTCAAAATAGTGCAATATCATAAATTCATTTCTGCTCTGCCTTAGCCCTGGTCTTGCAGGAGGAGCTCCGCCTGGGGCATGCTGCAAACAGTCGACAGATGCAGAGCGGGTCCCGTCTGAACAGTCTTTACTTCGCCCTTAAAATTTCATCTGTTCGAAGGAAGGGGGGCGGGTGGGACTGTGGAGCGTGGATCGCCATCAGGTCTCCACAGCACGGGCAGCGCCTCTCCTGCCGCTGTGATGTTGGTCCCTGCAAAGCTTTGGGCAGCAGCGGGTCTTCGGAGCTCAAACTTGTAGTGCGAAGGGAGCATTCCTGAAAGACTCAAATTACTCTTCTGGGTTCAAAATTTGACTTACAAGTGGGTTTTTTCCTCATTTGAACAAAACCCAAGAAGTGTTTTCATGATTTTTTTTTCAATTTTTTTTCCCCCCAATTTTTTTTAAGTGTCTGCCATCATGTTAACACGTGAGGTCTGCGTTGCTGGCTTCTGTGCAAGAAACTTAATCAGGCTGCTCTTATTTTCCAAGAGGCTTTGATGTATACAATGTAAACAGCAAAAAGGTGAAATAGGAATATGGCATTTAGTGGAAAATTCTGCAGCAAGTTAAGCATGGCTTTTTTATGACTGTGGGTGTTGGGTATTGAGTAGGCATATGCTGGACCTAAGGCCACAAGGCGTTAGCTAAGTCAGGAAGCTTTTTTCTTTTAAATACCTGCACCCCCTAGTTCTGTTTCACAAGTAAAGCAGATTCTAGCTTATTTGTTTGTTGCATAAAGTCCTTTTCTCTTTTTTTCCCCTGGATTCCCACATTACCTTTCCAACTTAAGAAAACTGTTGTAATTTGCTTTTAAATAACCCTGCAGCAGATCATCAAAACTTAAAATCTATCTGACAGCCCCTTTTAGGAGTGACTTTGGTGGGTGGATGAGGAAAGGAGTTACTGGTTGAAGAGAGGCAAACAAGGAAACAATTATAACACGATTCCTGCGTGGTTAGCAAAACAGGCGCTGCCTTTGTCAGAAAATGCCCTGCTGATCAGCAGGGTTTGTCTCACTGAATGTGAAGGGCTTGTGGGTTTTGGTTATTTTCCCTTACTCTTTTAAAAAAAAAAAAAAAAAAAAAAGGTGAGGGGTTCTCTTGCCAGGATGAAGGTTTGGTAGATTGTTCGGCGTTTTGTTTGCTTTCAGTTTCTCCTCCTGTATTTGTTGGCGACAGCTGCCTTCCGAAGCCCGCACTTGGCTCCTCTCTTGGCAAACCTTGGAGGGTCGGCGCTGCCTGGTTGCGTGCGAGTGCCTCGGCGGTGTTTGCGCGCCCGCCTGGGCGTGGAGGGTGACCGGCTGCGTTGGTGGGCGACGCGCTGGCTGTGTCGGTCACCCAAAACACGGCCCTTCCTTCGACGGTGCTTTCCTTAACTTGCCGTATTGCAGGATCCCCCGGGGTCCTGTTCAGCAGCCCCTCGAGGATCGGATCTTCACTCCGACGGTCTCCGCTGTGTACAGCACTGTGAGTATCTGGCTGGTGCCGCTGCGCTCGCGTTGCTTCTGAAAGGAACGTGCTTCCCAAGAATAAGAAAATGGTATAGTTTTTTTTAAAAAAAAACAATACTTGTAAAAAGCATGCAATTTAAAAAATGCAACTTTTTTTTTTTTTCCTCCTAAAATAAGCAGTGATGGATGAGGACCATGTTTTTTGCATGTGAGTAGGAAAAGAAGAAATCTTGGGGACTTCTGGGTCCATTCCTTTTTTTAAGTGTCTATAGTTCTCTTTAGCCGGGATGAGAGTAGGTTTTCTGAGCACGATTTTCACCTGAGTAAAAATGTCACTGGCCATGTTTTCAGGCTGTTGGCTCCATCTCTTCCCTGCCTCCTGCATCTCAAAGACCGGTTTGTTGGAGTGGCTGCACATTTCTAATAGTTTTTTTTTATTGGAAAAACAATCAAGGAAGATTTGTTTTTCACGTGAAACATTCCATTACCCAGAAGAGGAAATGTTTTGATTATAGATTGAATATTTGGGATAGGTGCTTTTGGCTCACTGTCTTACATGTTTGTTTATAAAGCTTGATTATCGAGGAAATTTAGGTTAGAAATGTTGTGACGTTTATTTGTGAACATATGATACTGTTTTCCTTTTATTAATTTCTTTTTTTCAAATGGTAGTAGCTGGAAGCCTGGTGTTATTTATAAGCTTTGCTAAATCAGCACAGCTCTGGGAAAGTAATGTTTTGCTTTTCTGGTGGGATAATGCAAATATTTTTAATGCCAAAAAAAAACGCTTTTTAAGCTGCTCTTTTAATTATTTGGAAAACAGGAAGAAAAGCTGTAGATAGGAGAAATTCACTGTATTTTATGCAGTAACATAAGCTGCTTATAGAAAAACATAAGCTGCTGTTCAAGGTTTTCTCCTTCCTCCTGTTTGCATGAATAACTGGCAAAGGGGTTATCAGCTCCATCTCCCCCATGTGCGGAGCCCAGGTCTGGAGCATCTTCGGCCTCTTCCTTTTTTGGGCTGTAGAGAAGAGTTTTGTGATCACCTCTTCTACCAGAGAGACTGCTGTCAAGATGCAAAGCCAAACTTTGCACAGGATTAAGTGCAAAAGTGCTGTCTGGTGCCTGTCAGTCCAAGAAAGGCAGAGACTCAGGTAGTAGTTGTAGTAGCAGAAAGACTTGGGCTTGCCCGTGGATGGTCTGGTGGCCAGCCAGCAGTGGATTTCCATCCAGGTGGGTCGGAAAGGTTGGGGTACAACTCTGACAAGGGTTTCAGGTTTCTAGGTTTGTGGCTTTGACAGCAGTGGATTGACAGACTTGAAGTGTGGACTGGTTTTTTTTTTTGGTTGGTTTGTGTTTTTTTGTTTTTTGTTTTTTTTTTTTTTTTTTTGCTAGCTTCATCCTCAAAATTGCATACATACTTATGTGTATATACATATGTAGGTATGCAAAAAAGCAAAACCAAAGGAACATAAATGTACAAACAGTTGTAATAAATAATTCAGTTTATATTATCCTTTATATACCTCATACAACACTTAAAAACCACTTTAAAAATAACTGAATTCCTTTTGGGGGAAAAAGAAGGTTATTTTTTTCAATTCATTCCTCCAAAGACATAATTCAGATGCCTGTGGGAAAATATGACTGTAAAAATTTAAATTAATGTAAAATATAAAAGTAACTGTGAAGAATGACCTAAAATAGCTTTTTCAGCATGGAAAAATATAACTCTTTGATATGTTACAGGAATAGAAGCCAGGGCTGGAAGTATCTCAGTTCTAGGCTTTAGGAAAACACAAGTTTGAAAGAAAATTTCTTGTTTTAGGGAAAGGAAAGAAATTTCTCAGCTAGGTTCCTTTTGAGCTTCTATTTGAAGCCCTTGGCAGATTGCAAATTTAGAGTAAGTCCTAGAAAAGATGAATTAGGCTGGAAGGAGGCACATGATCGGAGGTCCTTGACAAATCCATTCATCATAGGTCTCTGTGGTTTATTACATGAGTAGCAGCATCATGTATTTAAGGTGTGGGTTTGCAACAAATAGGTCATTTTTTAGTTTATGATTTTAATGTATAGTTTGTCTAGATTTTACAAAAGTCATGTAGTACAGAGGTATGGGAGACAGCACCATCTTCAGCGCTCGAGGACCGCTTTTTCACTTCCACATTTTATTTGCTTGGTCATCATATGTGGGTTTCCACTCGGATTATGTATCACAGTTTTCAGCTACGTGTGTTTTGGTGGAGGACAGCTGGTTTAGGAAGAGGTCTGTGGTCTGGTACCACGGCGCAGTGACTCTGAGCTGCCTCAGTGTGTTCCCTGTAGGTTATAGTATGTCATGCATGGGGTGGGAGGATGAATTATTTGAGATATGGGCAACCCACAGATGAAAACACTATTTTTAGTTAAAGATGAATAATTTGGTTATCCGTTCCATAACTTCCCACATGTATTATCAGGACCTCAGTTACGCATTCCTGAACTCTTTTTTTTTTTCCCAGAACTACGTGCTGCTTGCCAAAAATGGGAATGGAAAATCATGTGGCTTTCACTGAGCCCCAATAATCTCCCTTGAAATAAAATCAGAGGAACACATTTTCTTGTAGGGCAGAGATAGGAGGTGAGGAAGAGGCAAAGTGTGATTTTTCAGAAATTAAGTTTGTCTGAGAACTTGGAGATGTTCAAAATTCCCAACAAAACTTTGGTAGAGGCTCTTTCTCAGTTAAATAATAACTGATATTAAAAACAAAACCACCTAACCACGTCATATAAAATCTTAATTTGTTTTATATAGTATACTGTAGAAAATACTGATATTTGGTGCGTTGGGGATTTGGGGTTTTTTAGTAAATAAATGCACCAGTAGAATTATTTTAAAGCAAATCACAGTTGGAAATAATTGTTTCCATGAACTAATCTTGTAATAATTTCTCCTCATCAATAAAGGAGAATACCGTATCATAAGAGCTACTTTTGGACATAAAAATTTGGGGTTTCAACCTGTAAGCAGCTTCTTGCTGCTTCTTGGTGTTTCCAAATTCTTTGTACTGCAAGAAATTAATGCAGATTACTTTTACATTTGCTATAAGATCCCATACTTGTGTAATCTGGAAAGGGGAATGGAGGAAGAATGAAACTTTATTTCTGTTGTAAAAGATTTCAAATAAATACAGTCAAAGAAGCTTCTTGTCTTGGAGTTTGAGGAAAAGACATTGCCTTCTAACAGAAAAGGAACTGCACTAAAGGTGACCTTAAATATCACAGGCCACCGTGTGTGCCTGCCCTCAGAGTAATGGGGGCTGATTTCTGTTGAAAATGCAATTAATGTGGACGAATGATCAGAAGCAGATGTGCTCTTCAAATTCAGCATGAGGCATGGGTTGGGAATCAGATGAGAAGAATAACTGTTAACGTACATCCAGTTCTCACACAAATAACCTTTTCTGGCAGATTACAGTGGAGGTTTGTAGCTGCCTCAGTAACACGCTGTGATCTCAAGCGCTGAAGCTTGGACCATAAATACTGTGGGATGAATTTTTGTAGGCTAAGGAACAACACTGGCTCCTGTATGTGAACTGATTAGAAAACGAGTGTTAATTTGGTACAACTATTTGGAGAGAAGTGCGTGAAAATTGATTGGGTGTAGCCTTGAGCAGAGTTTCTGTAGCGTGGGTGGATCCAACTCTGGTTTAAATTTGCTGTGTTAACTGCAATCTCACTGTGTCTCGTTGGCGCAGGTACCACCTCCTGTCAGGTTGCCCAACTCAGTGCCAGCTGATGGTAAAGAAGGTAGTGGGAAAGTGAGGTGTTGAAGAACCTCCTTGCCCCAGAGTTTCAGTGACTAAGGCTTGCCTCCATCATTCGCTTCTTTGGGTGTTCACTTGGTGCCTTTTCTGCAACGGGGTGCCTGTTGGTGGCTCTCCCATAATTTCCCACCCAGCAGAGGTACTGTGATTCGCCTTTGTGTCCTTTAAAGGGATCTTCCTACAATGAGGAGAATCCTGCAGAAAAAAGAGATTAGGGAGGATTAGCTGCTCCGGCCACCCTGTGCTTAGAGGAAGGATCTGGGTCAGGAGGCCGACTCGCTTCCCTGCTCGGTTGTGGTGGAGGCTGCGAAGTGTGCGAGGGGGATGCTCAGTTCCTCGGATGCTGGCAGCGCTGCTTTGAACCTGCCGGCACCAGCCCGAGCGAATAAATTGGGTGCTGGAAGGAAAGAGGTTCTGTTCAAGTCTGAACTCTTTTTTTGGGGGGTTTTGTTTAGGGAAAGAGCAGTTCTTAATAATAAACCATTCACGGTAAACTGTTGTCGTATCGTAGCCAGGCATTCCCTGTCATTGAGGGATGTCTGTGGCATGCCCTATCCATTCTGATCTCATCTGAATGTTTCATGGACATAACTATGTGTCTGAAATTAGGTACTTGGAAGGGGGGAAGAATAATCCAAAACTTTCGGAAGATGCTAAAAGCAGAAGATTTAATCTCAAAAGGAAAAGAGAGAATTCCAGCCTGAGTTTTTATTTCATGTCTCATTCATTATTTTATTTAAAGCACAGACTTAAGGCTTCTGGAGAACTAAAGTTAGCTTCTTGCTACTCAGTGAAGAAAAAAAAAAAAGTAATGCCCTAGCAAGTTAATATGTAATTTGGTGTATCTATTTTTAGGGGAATAATTTAATCTCTAGATTTAAGAAGGATATTTGCTTTCATAGTAATCACAGACCACGTTTATGTTCTGCAGAATCCCTTTTAATAAACAGAAAACCAAACCTCAGGTGCTATGAGGGTAAGCATCCCATAACACAGGTGATGAGCTGGTAGAGTCTCTCTCTGGTTGACTTTTTTAAAATCAGTGAATAAACACATAAATTCAGCAGGTTTGTCTTCCTCTTATCACCTGTTAACATTCAAATATGCACCAGTTCATTTCAGTTTATTTGTAAGCAATTTGTTGTAGCCACCAAGATGAAGGTGTAGAAATACCTACGTTGCTGTAGCTGGCATGAGAGGCACTGAGGGGCTTTTGCTTGTGCTGGAAGGGCAGCTTGCCTTTTTTGTGGGTCCACTCAGCTGGACTTGGTTAGGAAGTCTTACCAGGCCAGTGGTTAGACTCCCATCAGATACTGTCCAAGTGTGGTGTTGCCAAAATATCAAGATGGTATGATTTTGTGATCGTTCTGTTGCCTTAATTAGGCTTTAGAGCAAATGTTAGTGGGTCCAGACCTGCGTCTGTAATGTATCTGCTACTTGTCTGCTGCACTGCACAGGCGTATCTCGTGGCCCATCATTCACACAGCTGCACAGCTTTGCTATCGGGTTGGATTCCAGATTTCATACCCAGTTCAGAACAGCATTCCTTGCAGTCTTCAGTTAACCTCCAACCTAGGTTATTTGCATGTTTTAATTTCTGAAGAAGACTGTTGAATGCTCACACTAACCTGGGATATTATTAGTGTCCCCATCCTCCTTGTCAAATGTCCACGTTGACTTGGGTGCTGTTAGAGATCAGAGAATTTCCCATGGCTCTGGCCTTAGTTGGAATAGCGTATGCACTTGTAAGTGTAGGGAGGTAAAAGCTGGGAGTGTCTGAAGTACCACAGCTATTGCAAAATTACATTTTTTTTTTCCACAAGAAATGACGTTCAAGGGGAAATCTTGGTGATGAGTATGCACTCAACCTACCAATGGGGCTGTTTATATGAATGATTTACTTCTATTTTGTGTTGCCTTTGCTTCCTTTTCCCCTCCTTAACCACATTTTTTGATATCCATTGTGATACGTAGTCACTTCTGAGCACAGCCTACTGCACGATTGACATGACAAGTCTTTCAAGGTTGTTTTAGGAGTCGTGTAAGAGACTTTGATTTTCTTGGGGTTTGGATGTGGAAAGTTTTATGATGCTCTCTAATGCTGGTTTCATATCAACTGACCGAGGCTGTGTGCACACACCTGCCAATCTAGAACAGCCAGAAAAAAAAGAGATGATTCTCCCCTGGAGAAGGATCCAGCTGGGGACAAAGGATGAGGTTCTGTGATGTGATCCACCCTTTTCTCTGATGAGCACGAGGGTGCTGTAAATCTTCCTGCAGGGAACGATACTGGACCATTTCCAAGCCTCAAGAAATTGCACATTGTGATTCTCCTTGCTGGTGCAGCTGTTTTAGTGGTTTAGGTAGAGTAACGACAGGCATTGATACTTGGACTGCAATAAAATCACTTGGAAAAAGCATTTAGTAATGAACTCTGTGACTTCTGCTCTCATACTTTGCTCTCTTGGAGCTTGGTGCTAATACTCTGTTAAAGAACAAGAGTCAGGAATTTCCTCTGTCTTCCTTACTCACGATGGGGAAATACATACACACACATCTACCTATGCAGTGGCAATGTTCCCTTCTAAGCATTGCCTGTGTTGTGCTCTTAAGTGCCTGTAGCTAAGTTGTGCTTTTCAGCAAACAAAATCATAGAATCATAGGATGCTAGCATGGTTTAGGTTGGAAGGGACCTTAAAGCTAGTCCCAACCCCCCTGCCCCGGGCAGGGCCCCCTTCCCCCAGCCCAGGGAGATCCCAGCCCCATCCAACCTGGCCTGGAACCCTTCCAGGGAGGGGGTCTGAGGAAAGGTCAGTGAGAAGCAAGTGCTGGACTTCTATACTACGAGCTTTAACCAAATCTGCAAAAATTCAGTTGTATTGAATTGCTGGGGGGTGCCACCCAATGGTTCTGTGATTCTTTTTTTCCTTTGATTCTCCTTTATTTACTATAGCGACTATATAAAGTATATTTAAAACATTTCCATCATGGAGGTAGTCAGTGGAGCAAGTATATGTGCCATGAATATATTTGACAACATTTTGCTTATTGTGGTTTGATGAGTGGTTCTTTTTAATAGAAGCTGAGAAAGGAGATAAGTATATGCAAGAATTACTTTGGTATTTCATTATTTGCTTGTGGCAAGCCCTTCAGATAACAGGGCCTCTGTGCAGTCCTTTTTTTCCTTTTTGGAGAGGAGTGTGCAAATTTTCCCCTCACTTTGTTTTTTGGGTCACTGGTAATGTGTATCCCTTTGCAGAATCACAGTATTGTTTGATATGGCACATAATGGAAAGATCGGAAGATCCCAGGCCTGAAGTCAAAGGGATATTGCAAAGCAAGACCCAGCAATAAAGCTCATCCAGTTCCTACACATTTCCACCAGTGACTCCAGCTGTTGGTCTTATTTTCTGATCCTCCTCTGTTTTTTGGAATCATATAGTTAACTAATTTGTACAGCGTATCACTTAGCTAAATATATATTATTTTTGATATATATAAAGATGCTGCTAACTGCTTTCTTAAAAAGAAGATTACAGTATTTGTACAGATTGGATTACTAATACTATGTTTTACTAACAGTTTATCTCCACACAGGTAACACAAGTAGCAAGACAACCAGGTCCTCCTGCCCCATCCCCTTACACTGCACATGAAATAAATAAGGGACACCCAAATCTTGCTGCAACACCACCGGGACATGCGTCGTCCCCTGGGCTTTCACAGGTAAGACCTGGCATTGGGGCGAAGCATTTCCAGCTTCCCTCTTTTCCAATTCTCAGCTTTGCTGCTCAAAAATTGACATAGCTGTCTTGTCTGTGGCCGGCGGAGAAAACTTGATTAGTGAGTGATGTCTTTATGCGGCTCAAACCTTGCAGTGACTTTTAGGTAAGGTAGCACTCAAGTTTATTAGGCATCAGTTTGCTGTTGATGCTGTAACAGAAACTGAAAGCAACTTGAAAAATTATAGGAAATACTGATTGATGAGCAATGTGCTTCACTGTTGTGTTAGGCTGCTTTGGGGCATGGCTCGACTGCCATTTTAAACACCGTAAAAGTGCCTGATGTCCTCTTAGGGATTTTTCATTTCAGACGTTTTGTATAGGGCGCTGCAGTTCTGTAACTCACCTAAGAAGTGGGACAGTAAAATGAGTTACAAAAATGAATGCTAATAAAAGAAGCAAGACAAAGGACTGATTACAAAAAAAGTACAGAGGAAGAGATAAATAGGAGTTCTAATAAGAACAGAGAAATAGCGTTTAGTAAGATAAGTGGAATAAATTGGTCTTTTTGTAGTCTTTATTAGATGAATATTCTACAGGGTTGATGGGAGAGTGGAGAAGCTTATCTTAAAAAAAAAAAGGGGGCAAAAGGGACAGGTAATGGGGTGCAGAAAGAAGGGAGATAAAAGATACGGGATTGAGGAAAGTGGGATATGTAAAAGCATTGAGGTTTGAGATAGAGGAAAGCCTTATGTTTCGTTTGTTCTTGTTTAATTTATACTTGTTTGAATAAATGGAATAAAGTAGGAAGACATGAGTAGGTCTGCTATTACGAAGTGCAGTTTTGTTCTGAACAAGATGTTAAGTGGGGAGGCGGGATGACAAGCTGAGGATGGGCTGGCAACCGCTGCGTGCCACGGCGAGGTGGCGGTGAGAGCCTCGAGCATAGTGCGGCCCTGGGAAGAGGCAAGCTAGTCCTGCTGCCAGCCTCTTTAATTTGGATGAAATATTAAACTGCAGCTGACCTTTTAGACTGGGAGATGTGTGAAAACAAATAAGGTCATGTAAGGAACACTTCACCTTAATATTACGTGTTCTAGATAAAGCTTGGTGGGAAAACTGAAAACTTGTCGTTATGTTTGAAAATGTGCAAATGCTCATGCTTTATGGAGTGGGAAATTAGAGGCTGAAGTATCTATTTAGAACCATAAGTAGCTTGCAGGCATTAGTCAGCGGTATCGGAGCTGTTTCTTACACTCTTGCTGCATGGTTGTTGGAAATAAAGTCTCTGGTTTGAAGACTGAGCCTCACATAACAGAGGGAGAATGTAGTAGGGTTGCAGAGCAAACCCTAAAGTGTTGTCTGGCTTGTGTCATGTATCAAGAAATTCATTCCTGGTAAACCTCGTCAACAGAGGGAAGCTAATCATGTGGCAGATAAGAAGGGAAGAAAGAGAACATTCTAGGCAGCCTCTTTAAAAAAAAAAAATATTCTAATCAAGGTTTTTTTTTTTTTCCCCCTTAATATTTTCCTGTTGAGTCAGTGCATACGTAGAGAATGGTCTCTGTGCCAAATCACCACTGCAGCCAGCCGGGAAAACGCTTGTTTCCTGTTCTGCTGGCTCTTATCGTCTTGGAAATGAGCGTCAGATTGTGTCACTCTGATGCTGCTAGTAAGAGTGGTTTGACCTTACGTCCTCCATGTCAGCTGAGGATCCTTGAGGGCTCTGGGAGGGTATTTGTCCTCTGGCTGTATGGGGCTGGCCCTTGCGTGCTTAGTGAGGGGAAGAAATAGCAAGATCCGAGGTTGTAAGCCAAGCGAAGCATCGGTCATTGCATGCTTTTGGGACCAGAGAGGAGTGAGGTCTGGGGAGCTTTCCCTAAGTGATTCCTACAGAGCTGGGATTCGGTAGCAAAGCAGCAAAAACAGTGGGTTCTGTTCATTCACAGCATCTACTTGCTTCTCAGATATTTTCACTGTTGAGTTGTCCCATCAGTTGAGCCTCTCATTTGCAGCTGGAGGTGGTGGTGAAGAATCAAAATGGAAGTGCCTACACATGGGACACCTCCACCAGTAAAGCTTAAAAGGGGTTCAAGACTCTTGACATAAGCAGTTACAGGATAATCTGGCCCCAGAGAAAGTTTTCTGTACCCCTGAACTATTAAAGGCTTGAGTAAACTTAAGTGGTTTTTAAACACTGGAATTCTGAATGTTCTTATGTATATCTCACTTTGACCCCTGTCAGGTGTTGAGTTTCAGTACTATATTATGGTAAGAAATTCCCCAGTTGAGTGCAGTGTTAGATGAAAGTATTACCTTTTCATTGCATCTCATTTGTCTCCTGTGGGTTTCATTGAATGCCTTCTTGTGCTTGCGTTAAGAAACGAGGTGAGTGGAAGTTTCCAATTTCCAGACCACTTGTAGTTTTGTGAACTTCTATCATGATTTCATTTATTTGCTTTCTTCTAGGTAAACTATCAAAATCCTTTAAATCTCTCAGCACTTCAAAGTTTTTCCATGCTGTAATTGTTCTTTCTGTCTGATTCTTGGACCTCTGAAATCCTGCTGTTTTCCTTTTGATACAAAGGGACCTGAACTGACGTGGTATTCTGATGAATGGATTATTACTGATTCTTTAACAGCAATGTAACACTTCACAAGCTACTCTGTCTCTTAACAACCCATGCTATGTTGATGATTAAACATTGAACAAAGGTTGTCTTTGCATTTGGCCAGTTGTGCCTAATGTAGGGCTGTGCATTTGTGCATAGTGAGGGGGGTGTGTCTGTTCTGGATTTGACAGAGTAATTAAAAAGGTAAGGAAGAGATCACTTCATTTGAATTAGAATCTGATTTGAGGGGGTCATTGATTTATCCACCAGAACCATGACTTAATAAATAAAACTGAGTCTTTCCAAGATAGGGACTGCTGTTTAGGCAGTAGTGAGTGAAAATATATATGTATGGTTTTGGGTATCATGAAGGTCAGAAAATAATTGTGCCGGTGACAGAATATGTGTTACCTGCTTGTGTGGTCACAGATTACTCGGAGTGCTCCCTGTCAGTCCAGGGCTGAGAGCTCAGTCCCTTGCTTTTATCTAGTAGGCATCTCAGCAGCCTTCCGCTTAGGGCTCGGAGTTGCTTACCAGTTTCTTCAAGTGGGGATCTAGCAGAAGTCAGGCTGTGAAGGAGAATGGAGGGTTAATAAATGCTGCGGTTCCACAAGTGGTCCCCTCACTGTGCTGGCTGCTCTAAAGCTACCTGTTTCAGTAAGTCTGGGTGATGGGAGATGAGGTAGTGTCTTAAAACGCTAGTAAGTGATAAAAGAAACCACTGTCCCTTGCAAAAGCTCTGGGAGCTGGACCTCTTCATGGGTCCGCAAACTTCTGTGCCACAAGATGACAGCATCGTGTTGAGTGGTCTGCAAGAGAGACTTGGGGAACTGCAGATCAGGAGATCTATGGGATATTTAGTGTCTTCTGTGGGAAGAAAAGTCAGGTGCAAATGAATGTTGTACCTCTGTAGCTGGCTTTCCTTTAACTTTATTTAAATAAACAGAAACCAGATGGTCATGCCGTGCTGTGGTTTGGTGTCTTTTTCACTTATTCTTCTACCTTTTCCATTTGACATAGCCAAAACAAGAGAAAGGCTTGCTGTTTGACTTCCTCCAAAGTCTTTCGTAATGGCCAGCCTCTGGCACTTTGCTGCCCTTCAGAATTAGTTTCTGCAGCAAAATGAGAAGAGCTTGGCAGTGATGTGAAACAGTCCCACACCCCGACTCTGCAGCAAGAGACAGCATTTCTGCTTCCCAAATTCCAGGGCCTTGAAATCATACTGCTGCTCTCAGGAATGTGTTGAACTCCACCAGCGTTGGGGAATGTGCAGCACATGTTGCTGCAGTGATGTTATGGCCAGATGTGGCCCCACATACATAAAATTTCATATTTCTGTTCTTATCGTGCGAAAGGGCCCCTCGTACAGACTGGGAGAGGAGGGGCACATCTCTGCCTCCTCTCTTGGCTTGCAGGCTTCAGAAGTGGCTGGCTTGAGACAATTTTCTTTCTTGAGCATACAGAAGAAAAAAGTAGTGATTGAAAAAGGAGAGGTTTTTCCTTGGGCGTGGCTACTGGAGCAAGTTATCCTGAGATCAGGTAGGGCATGGATTTACAGTGTGCCGGGCACTGCAGGGTAGCTGCTTGCCTGAGCACTCCATCCCATGATGGATGTGAGATAGTCCAGTGCAAGTAGTGTAGGCAAAGAGCATTCACAGAGGCAGTTAACACAAAGCAGCTGAAATGCTGTAAATCTACCCCCTGCTCTGGCTTTACATTATAGTAATTTATGGTGTAGCCATAAAGATGAAAATAACGAGAAAGTGGAGCTCTTCCAAAGCAACCAGACTGGGGCTTGGAAGGAGGCATCAGAAAAGTGCTTCCCTCTGTCCAGTGAGCAAACAAAAGAGAAGGAGAGGGCTCCTTCAGTTGTACCATGAGCAGCAGGCAGCGTGTGAAGCTTAGGGCATCAGGAGAAGATGATTTTGTCCCTCCTTGTCACCTAGGAGTGTTTTGAAGGATCCCAAGGAACAAGTGCAGTGGGTTCTGGCATGTGAGATGAAGCAACCCAAGAGGGGAATGGTTTGGAAAAGACTCTTGGCTTTCTCTGTCCCAGCTTTAAAACTGCAGCCTCTGATGTGCATGCTGAGGGATTCTTTTAGACTGACCACGCTTAGAACAAATGGCCAGGGGTTTCCTCTGTAATTGGGGAAAGCTTTAGCTCTTGTTAAGAACACACTGTGCACTGAGCAGATCGGTGCTTGGTGCCCACAGCTACCTCTTAGGATAAAATGATGGAGTATCCAGTTAGCAGAGGACCTTGTGGCATCTATTGAGACCTTACTCTGAAGCTGTTGTAGTTATTGGCAGCTGTGTTTAATAATCCCTTATCTGTTTCTGACAATTTTGAGATACACCCGCAGAAAACAAAAGTGGGAGAGAGCTGAATTCT